TCTCCACCGCCGCCCTCCAGTGAGCAGAGCTGGGGCCAGGCAGCAGCCCCCGGGCGCGGGAAGGTAGCGGGAGCTGCATTTAGAGGAGGGGGGAGGTAGCAGGAGCGCCGCCGGTGGGAATCTTAGAGCGAATTCGTCGGCGGGTGCCAAGTCGAAGCGCCGACCTCCGGTCTCAGGACTGGGGCCGGGACCCCTGCGTCCCGGAACCGCGTCCCCGCCTTGCTCCACGCCCGGCGCCTTCCTTACGCGCAGCAGAAGCTCGCTAAACAGCGGTTAATTCGATGGGATCGGATCATAGGGCCCTCGGTGAAGCAGAAAGGCGGAGGAAATCCAGGAGGCAGAAGTCCTGAGGAACCGAGCGCCTGGCGCCGCTGCGGTGTTCCGATAAGGAGAAGAGGCATCCCAGAAGGGGCTTCAAACCACTTAGGACCGACTGCTGAAACGAATCCAAGCCTGTGGTGTCTGCAGAATTTAACTGTCCGCCTCAACCCCAGTTTTTGTTTCTAAGATTATCGAAAACTGTGCGGTTTGAGTGATGTGCTACACAGTGTTTAAAACAGATTGTTTCCCAAATTAGGGGTTTCCACACAAGAAATCGCTGCTGTCGGCAAACACAGGAACGATCTACGGTTAAGACAAGGTGGTGTTCGTAACCAAACTATAAACCTACACGTATGTGGTGGTAAGAGAACCAGACCAGTGAACAGTTTCAGGTTGGCGTGGTGTGCCCATGAACAAAGAAGTTTAAGACTGGCAAAAATCTAAATTGCTTTCTTTCCCTTTATTTTGTCATCGCTAAAATTAGGAAAATGAACAGATACGTTAAACCTCTTCTAACACCCATGTTCTGTAATTCTCCTTGTATGTACCTTATAGTAAGATAAAGGTAAAGTCATTTCCGTGTGCAACGAGGAAAAGTAATAAAAATTAAAAACAGCTAACAAGTATGAAGCCCTCCTTTTTATACGGTAAGTGCTGTATAAGCACTTCCCTCATCCACCTCTACGTTTTCACGGCACCTCTCAAGGGTTTGGACACGTGTGAGGACAAACTGGCAAAGCCAATAGTCAAGCCAGGCTGCTCAGTGGTCTTTGTGCTTCACCCCGGTTTAGTGCACCCGTCTTCGGAAGGGATATGGTGTATTAGGTGCTTCAACAGCAAGATCCATGAATATCTAGCACATCCCTAAAATCAAGCAAATGTCATCTGAACCCAATTACTGGGACAGCCCCCTCACTACTCCCACTTACTTTCAGCGGTATCTTCCCCAATCCAATCTCAAGTGTGAGCCCCAAGATACTTCTGCTTTTTCACGCCTCCACTTAAAAATCTTCTGATTATGTCATATTGCCATTAGGGTAAAGTTCAAACAACTCAACTGATTTTGAGGGCTACATTGGTGGGTGGTGGAGTACTGCCCACTTTCCCTTCATACTGTCATGACAGTGAGATTCTGAACTGTTCTGTGTGCAAACCCCACACGCTCTCTGCTCTCTCCCTTCCCATTTTTGCACGTGTGAGTCTGCTGTCTCCTCTTCTTTGCTTCTCCTATTCCTAAGATTTGCCAAGCCAACTACTCTATACCCCCATTGGATTTTAGTTTACATGTCTCGCCCCATGTTTTTCCCCACTAGAAGCCTCCATTGATGATTCCTTTCTAGATTGTGATGGATGTACCTCCCATAGCTCCCACTGCACCATTGTACTAAACTTGGACCACTGCAACTGTCCTGTGTGCACTTCTCCCACATGTATATAAAAGCTATATGTGTTTATCACTATATTCTCAATAATAATAAACAGATAACATAATAGCATAAGTGTGTATATTATAGACCATCATGAAGTGTTTATTGACTGAGAAAAGAAATATACATCATTGTGAACATAATGAAAAGATGTCATTTTTCAGAACAGTTTGATAATAGATGGTATTGATGAGGGGGGTATGAAAACAAATGTTTTCTCCAATTGTTGATGTACTTTAACTCGTAAAATCTCTCTGATGGTAAATTTTACAGTATCTATCCATTTTTGAAATGCATAATCTAATTAACCAAGCAATTTCGCTTCTGAAAATTCATCCTCTGATATACTTGTAGGTATACACAAGGAATTTAAAGAGTGAAAACCACCTAAATTGTTATTCATCCAAACAATGGACTTCTCTGGAGCTGTCAAGATAAATAAGGCAAGTTAATATTCATTAGATAAAACAATCTGGAATATATGATGCTAACAAAAAAAGAAAAACCATGCTCAGAGTGTTTAGTAGTATGCTATCATTTATGGAGAAAATAAGATCTATAGAAATATAATATTTCTGGAAAGATACATAGGAAAATGGTCACTGTGAAGTGCAGTTGAATGGCTCTAGCTAGAATCTTGAGGTTTTGCCTGATTCAATAAATACGTACCAACAGAATGTCTCCCAGCCTATCCGAAAAGCCAGCTTGACCTGTCAAGTGTGTATTTGTATGTTTAAATAGTGTATTAATGAGTTGCTAATCAGAGGAATATTGGGTTTTTAAAAAAAACAGACATTGAACATTAACTCTAACTTAAGACGGAGAGACATTTGGGAAGCACAAATAATTCCAGCAAAAGACAAATGAATTCTGTTGTGGGGTGGCCTCCTGAGAAGTTACTTAAAATATTAGTCATTCTCTTGGACAATTTATTTTCCTTTCTATTTTTCAGTGATGCCAAGTAACCTTGTAATTATTCATCCTGCTTCTTAGTTTCCTTGACACTAAAAAGTGGAATCCTTGAAAATGGGTCAAAAGCATTCTAATGACAAAAATAAATTGACATTGTGCTTTGAAACTGCATTGCATGTGATTTTGAGTAACATAAGTATATAACCAAGAAAATGAGCATCTCTGGGTGTATTGAAACATCTAGTGTCTGGACCTGAAAGTATAATCTCAGACCTCAGATGGACAATGTTTCCATCACTGGGCCCAAAGCCATGCTCCATTTGGTGAGCTTCTTAACTCACCTTTCTATTATTAATTACTGTTCAATCTAAAAGAGGTATCATCCTAGTGTTAAATACCAAACTTGAGTCTCCTAAATGCTAGACTTGATGAAAGGGCCTCAATGTGAAGTTTGAAAGAAAGAAGAAAAAAAACTTAAGTCTAGATAAGACTGCAAGACCAAATAATAATGAGAACATTATATCTAACATTTTTAAATGTATGTAGTTTTCAGGAACTTCAGGAATTTTCCAGAAATAACACATAGTCATGTTTTTTAAAAAGCAAGTGACACATTTAAATATGCATATGCACACTTTGGAGACCTCAGTTATGTATAAAACCAGGGAGAGATAATAGAGCTTTTGAAAATGTTGTCACTGAGGAAAAAAAGAAGAAGTAGTTTCCAGAATTAAGCTTGCATGTATCATGTTTTACAGAAATAAATGATAACTGAGCTTCCTTGTCAAAGCCTACAAGGCCCTACCTGGTCTCTCCTGTGCCTCCTCCATCCCTGCAGTCGCTCACCTTCTCACTCAGCTCTCCTAACATCTCTTTTCTCATACATGCTGTATTACTCCATTTTCACACTGCTATAAAGAACTCCCTGAGACTGGGTAATTTATAAAGGAAAGAGACTTAATTGACTCACAGTTCCGCATGGCTGGGGAACCTTTAGGAAACTTACAATCATGGCGGAAGGTGAAGGGAAAGCAAACACCTTCTTCACATGGCCGTAGGAGAGAGAGAGCAGAGAATGAAGGGGAAAGAGCCCCTCATAAAACCATCAGATCTCATGAGAACTAACTCACTATCATGAAAACAGCATGGGGAACCAACTCCATGATCCAATAACTTCCCACCACGTCCCTCCCTTGACATATGGGGATTACAGTTCGAGATGAGATTTGGGTGGGGACACAGAGCCAAACCATATCACATGCTAAGCTTATTCCTGCCTCCCCATAAAGCTCCACCTCAGAGGTTCCCAAACTTTCTGAGTTCACACCACCCTTACTGAATGTCTCAGTAATTATTTTTCATGGCACTTCTAGGCTGAGATTTATGAAGATGAACCTAATACTTATGTTTATTAAGTATTCAGGTGCTAACAATCCAATAAACATTTACTTCTTGACAACATTAGTAACTATTTGAAAAAAACATAAATTGAAAGAAAAAAGGTTTGTATTTCATTTGTAAGCAGCCACAGTCACCAATGGGATAGTAATGGGCATGACACAACCTCTCACATCTTAGGATTATATTAGTCACCACCACCTTCATTTCCTGTTCCACACTAATTTTCATGTGGT